AGTGGCAGGCAACTGGAAGCTCTGGATCCTTTTTACGGGCAGAACGTAGGTGTTCTGTGAAGCAGTCACCCAGTCTACCCTTTTCTCCCCCAATGTACAGGAGACCACATTGTGAGCAGGAAATGCAGTAGACTAGATTCTGGGAAGTGCAGGTGAAGTGTTGCTTCACCTGGAAGGTATGTTTGGGCCCTTGGTTACTGAGGAGGAAGGAGGTAAATGGGCAGGTGTTACACCTTTGACAATTGCAAGGGAAGGTGCTGTGAGGCTGTGGGGGTGTGTTGGGACTGAAGGAAGAGTGGACCAGGATGTCCCGGAGGGAACGGTCCCCGCGGAAGGCAGACAAGGGAAGGGAGGGCAGTATGTGTCTGGTGGTGGCATCTTGCTGGAGCTGGTGGGAATGGTGGCCGATGATCTTCTGGATGTGGATGCTGGTGGGATGGTAGGTAAGGGCAAAGGGAACCCTATCTGCATTGTGGGAAGGAAGAGACGGTGGTGGGGGCAGGAGTGCGGAAGATGGGTCGGATATGGTTGAGAGCTCTGTCAATAACGTGCTAGGGTATCCTTGGTGGAGGAAGAAGGTGGACATTTCAGATGCTCCTTTGTCGAAGGTGGCCTCATCCAAACATATGCGATGGACACGGAGGAAGTGAAAGGATGGAATGGAGTGTTTACAGGAAGTGAGGTGCAAGGATGTATAGTGCACGTAGCTGCGGCAGTCAGTGGGTTTATAGTGGATTTTAGTGGCCAGTTTATCCCCACAAAGTCTGTTATGTGGTATTTTATCAAATCCCTTTTGAAAATTCAAACACACAACATTAACTGCACCACTCTCATCAACCTTCTCTTTTATTTCACCAAAGAACCCAAGTCAGTCAAATTCAATTTACATTTAACAAATCCTTGCTGTCTTTCATATGTTAATCTATACATTTCCAAGTAGCAATTTATTTTGTGTCTTATAATACACATATAAAATTCCTCACTACTGATATCAGGCTGATTGTCACTATCCCTCTTCCCTTCTTTTGAACATGAAGGCAACATTTGATTGTCCCCTGGTGTCACGCCCATATTTAAAGAGGATTGGAAGGTTGTAGACAGAATCTTTCATCATTTCTTCTCTTATTTTACTCAGCAACCAAGAATGCATCCCATCCATACTGGGTAACTATTCCACTTTCAATGCTGTCAGCAGTTGAATTATCTTGTCTATCTAATATATAATTGGCCTATGTTGCTAGGTTCGGGAAGGGGTTTCCATTATGAGCTCACTGATTAAGGGTAGATTAGGCACTAGGTAAGTAAGTGCAATGCATTTTATTAATCATGCTTCTCATGACAAATCTGAACTGGAGGTTGACTTACCCTGATTGACAATAAATTCTATTTCATTGCACAAGTAGGGATAGAAGACTTGTGGAAAATGTAAATTAACCGCAAGATGCTGGAAATCTGGAATCAAAGCAAAAATTATGGCAATACTTTGGTGATTCTACCAAAATCCATGGAAAAAGAAACACTCAAGGTTGAGGCCATGATGTTCAGCTGCCAGTGGAGACAAGTGAGGAAGGGGTTGCAAGTGGAATTTGAAAATCTCATTCCCAAAGGATGATTCTGGATGCCACTACATTTAGAATGCATCCCAATTTTGAAGGGAAGGGTTGAGGACAGGGAACCAGGAATCCAATTAATGGCCCATACATCTCTTTGAGTGGAAGCTGAAGCCAAGCCACCCATTGGGAGAGTGACAGGCCAATTTTCAAGCCAAATGGAAACAGTCTGGATCATGTTAGTGCACAGTTCTGAAGAAGAGATATATCAGGCTCTACTCTCTTCTCATTTGTTGGGCTATAAAACAAAAGTGAACAGAAATAAACTCTTTTGGTTAGAAATGCAACTGATGCAAATCAATATGTTCCTTCTGTGGGTCTGGCAGCATCTATAGAGAGAGAAACAGATTGATGTTTCTAGTCTGAAGAAAACTTTTCAGTTTTCAGTTCTGAAGAAACGTCACTGGGCTTGAAACGTTAACTCTGTTTCTCCGTCCACAGTGGCTGCCAAACCTCTGAGTTTCTCCAGTATTTTCTGTGTTTGTTTCAGATTTCCAGCATCTGTAGTATTTTGCTTTTATTAGTGCATAGTTGCTGGAATCAAAGGGAGCAGAAGTTAAAATTTGCTCTTCCTGTTGAAAGGTTTTAGATGCTGGGGGATCCAACACTGAATCATGTAGTTAACCTTCCATTTGGCTGTTTGGCCATTTTTTTGGCTCGTGCAACTCACAACAAGGCTGCCTGAATGACCTGCATATGCAGAAGCTGGCAAGTTTCATCTCCTGTGTACCCATCAGTGCCAAGCTCAGCATCATCCCCAATTTGTGCAATGGCATTTCGAGACAGCATTGCATGAGTGACCCTAATGTGGCAACAGGACCTGGAGGTTGTCCATGTGTGAGGCTCCTGGGCCAGGTGTGAAGACTGAGCTCACATTTCTGGCCGGTGGCCTTTTTTCAGAGTCCAGGATCGCTGGCTTTCTGAGGCAGCACCAACAGCCTCTGTCTTGCAGGATCATGTGAGTTGTCAAGATGCTAAACTCTGGAATTCCCTCCTTAAACCTCTCCAAATCTCCGCTCCCCTTCAAAACTCTCCTTATATCCTACCACATGTCATTATTTATCCCTAATATGTCCTTACGTGGCTCAGTATCAAATGTTTTGAATCATTCTGCTGAAGCGTTTTGGCATGTTTTATGATACTAAGTGCACTTTGTAAATGAAAGGTCTAATTGCTCCCCTCTTTGGGCAAGAATCATATAAAATTAACACACAAGTACATCAAGCAATGAGGAAGGCAAATGGTATGTGCCCTTTGTTGCTGGATGTATTGAGCATGTCTTACTGCAATTACTTCAAACTTTGGTGATAGTAAGATCAGGTCTGTGCTCAGATAGTGAACATTCAAGAGCTTTAATAAACATAACTGTATACAAAGGTTAATGGCAAGACAATTCTTCGGAACCCTGCAAACTCAAGAGCTAAATCCATGTGATCTAAAGCCTCTGCCTCAGTCGCTATTCTCAGAATAAAGGTTTATTTAACTGTTTATTCTATGTTGGTGAGACTTCATGTATAGTGATGTTCCCTCTAAGTTGTGAGATTGCATGTTTATACAGCTGGTACATACTCTGTTGATGAGCATACTCAAGATTGAAATCAATAGATTTCTGAACAGTAATTGAATAAAGGAACATGGAGACGGGACAGATAAGTTTAATTATCATAAAGGTTCAGCTATGATCTTCATGAAGAATCCAACAAGTGCTAAAGGCCAACCCTGAGGGTGGCACGGTGGCTCAGTGGTTAGCACTGCTGCCTCACAGCGCCAGAGTCCTGGGTTCAATTCCAGCCTTGGGTGACTGTCTGTGTGGAGTTTGTACATTCTCCCCATGTCTGTGTGGGTTTCCTCCAGGTGCTCTGGTTTCCTCACACAGTCCAAAGACGTGCAGGGTAGGTGGGTTGGCCGTGCTAAATTGCTCAGAGTGCCCAGGGATGTTTAGGTTAGGTGGGTTAGACATGGGAAATTAGGTGAATGGGTCTGAGTGGGATGCTCTTCAGAGGGGTGGTGTGGACTTGTTGGGCCAAATGGCCTGTTTCCACACGGCAGGGATTCTACGATATCAAGCCTGGACTAGTTATAAGTTAATAGGTCACATCAGAGTAGCATGTTTTCATTGACATGTCATGATTCAACATAAGTTCAAGTCTGAAACCATTATACTTCCAGGTCACATGCTAAGATGCAGTCAAAGAATGTGTCTCTTAAATGTTTCTGACAACATCACCTTGAGAAATAACTCACAGATCTGGATTAATGTCTCTGTTTCTATTTAAGTTGTAATAAACATCTGGTTCAGTTTTGAGGTTTTCAGTTGATTAGCTACAATAGTTTTTTAGTGGTTCCAAGACTTGGATTGTTTTTGAAATTTATGCCATGTAGACATTGCTACCTAGGCCACTCTTCATTTCCCTGGAGCAGGTGAAGATGAGCCTCTTACATTCTGCAGTCCTTTAGTTAGGGACACTCACAAAACTTTTTGGAAGGGAATTCCAGGATTTTGTCCCAGCAACAATCAAGAAAATGGTGATATAGTTCCAAATAAGGATGGTGTGTTGACTGGGAGTGGTCAAGATTGTAGGTTTGTAAACTGTTTTTGAAGCAAGTTTGGTGAGTTGCTGCAGTGGGAATTTTCCAACTAGACAGCCCTCTGAACTCAACATTAACTTCCACAATTTCAGACCAGGAACTTTTGGGAAGACCTGTTTATTTATCGTTCACGGTGGGGAGGTGATGGCCTAGTGGTACTATTTCTGGACTGTCAATCCAGAGACACATTCTGGGGACCTGGGTTTGAATCTTGCCATAGCAGATGGTGGAATTTGAATTCAATAACTATTTGCAATTAAGAATCTAATGATGACTGTGAATCCATTATTGGTTGTTGGAAAAATTCATCTGGTTCACTAATGTCCTTTAGGGAAGGAAACTGCTGTCATTACCTGCTCTGGCCTACATGTGACTCCACAGCAATGTGGTTGACTCTTAACTGCCCACCTACCCAATTATGTATGGGCAATAAATGCTGCCTAGCCAGTGATGCCCTTGTCGTGTGAATAAATTAAAAAATACTCTGGAAAAGTGCTTTGATTTTTGTATAACCGTCACCACCTCTGCCTGTTCTTCTAAAACATCTTTGCTACTTAATCTCCCCTGCCCTTCCCCTCCCCTTCAGCAGCATAAAATCAGTTGCATCTCATTTTTTTTTCAATTCGGAAGAATTGTCGAGTCGAAAAGTCAGTGCAATTTCCTTCTCCCCAGATACCGTCATCCCTGCTGAGTGTTTCCAAGATTTCTTATTGGTAGTGCAGATATCCACTATTTAATATTTTAATCATGTCAGTGTTTCGCCTGTAACCTGCAGGTGGCGGTGGAGGCGGAGGGCGGATCGATTCTGCCTGTGACCTGCAGGTGGCGGTGCCGGCGGAGGGCAGACTTTCCCGCTGGCGTTTGTTTCCGTTAAGAGCTCGGTCGCCAGTTGGATCTCAGCGGAAGGAGCGATCGGAGTTGGACAGGACCGGAGAGAGGGAGATATTGACAGTAAGTGAGTGTCTTTCGATCATGGAACTTTGTCTAGTCGTCACAGGGAGTCCGAATGGCTAAAGGGGAGTATGCTTCCTTCTTCCTCCCTCCTCCCTCTCCATATTTTATCCCAACTCCTGACTGTATCATTCCTAAGCCTCCCTGTATTTTCCACCTTTTACCCCAACACCGTGCCTGTTGCTGTACTCCTTACCCCAACTAACTGTCTTCGTGTTGGCGGTGATCCCTGCTCTTAAATTTGACCCACAGCTGGGTTTATGCCCTATCTGGAAAGGAGATGTGTGTTGTGCACACTGCTTGTGACAAATTGTCAGCATACTCAGTTATATTCTAGCAAATCTGTTTGTTATGCCTAAAATTATTTGTTTGAACATTTTTTTATTGCTTAGGCTTGCTCCCTACTCATGGGTCTGCCTTCTCTCAGTCACTGCAATGTAATTTTGGAACCTCAAAATCTTTGCTACTTAATTATTTCCTTTCAGAAGCAGATGTAATCTTCCAACTGTGCCCATTTTCCTTTGACCAGTTGCTCTGTGCTGCTCCCCACTTCTGTCTATGACTTTCATCCACTTTGTCCTGACTATGCCTAAACAGCTTCTTTGTTTCAATGCCAGCTTTTGTATTTATTTGCTCCTTGTCTTTCTTCCAGATCGTTACTTCACTGTTCTTTTGTAATTGTATAGACTGGTATGCAGGCTGCATAGTTCTCCTCTGCTGTCAAATTCCATTCAAATTGTTAATTTTAGAATTGTTAAGTGCAATAAATTAAGCTGAACATAATTAACATGTAAACTACAAGAGATTTGGGAAAGAAATGGTCAAGATGAGGCAAGATACACTGGCAGCAGAAATATAGAAATCTAGTTGTATAATAAAACCTGCATAGTGCAGCTTGCATATTCATTTCATATCTTGGTGAACGTTGTTGTTCTCTTCAGTTTAACCTGAATTCTTCCTAATATTTTAAACAGTACAAGGCAGTTACATTATTCTCTTGTATTATTTTATCATTGCATTTGTTTCTTTTAGTAATTTGGAAACTCAGCCAGGATGATTCACTCATCCTTGAGTAAATTCCCCACCTACTCTGCACCTGTCTTGCTGCCCTCTGACCTCGCTTCAGCTGACTATTGCATTGCCTGGATGTCTTCCATCTGTTCTACTCTGAGCTCTTCTGTCTGCTTGACTGAACTTCCACGTCACGTTTTCCCTCAGCAGCTGACTGCCCACCAAACTCATGATTCCCAAACACCAGTGTTAATATGCAGCCTGTCTATGTGCATAGAGTCCCCACACTCTCTACATGAGGTGTTTGACCCTGCATTGCCCAATGACACATAGCTGGAGTTGGGAAGTTGCTAAGAGTGCAAGTCCACAGAAACTATATAACTTTGATCCAAGTGCAATGGCCTAGTCTTAGCAGCTTCCTACATGTAATTGGTACTATGTTTGCTAATCTTAGTATGTGAAACCGTGCAATAAAAACACATAAGGCAGCTATTTCTGCATGTTTCATTGTGGAGAATTAGATAAATAGTGCTTTCTCAGTTCTGATCTTGTAACGGTGTTTTTTGCCCCTCCTTTCAAATTTTAATAGGCCTGTTATTGTGTGTGTTGCACTCTGTGGTACTTGGGCAATAAGTTATTAATCAGTTATTAGTGTTTTACATAGGTGGTAGAGTATCTTTCACCAGATTGAACCAGTTTAGAGGATTTTGGGGGGGGGAATTGGAGCCAGGTAGGAAAGTGGGTAAGGGAAGAGGAAAGCTGTTGGTGGTGAATGGGACAGGGGCATTGTAGGGCTTGGATAGTGGTACCAAGAATGGGAATGTACTTCACGAAATAAGAGGATCTGATATTTTAGAATGCACACAATGTGAAGGAAAACTACTCAAAAATATTTACAACATGACATCTTTCATTTTCATAGCCTTTAACATCTTAAAATGGTGCAGGGTGCTTACCAAATACAATATATCTCAGTCCTGAGCTACCCAAGGACGGTGATTTTAAAAGCTTGATCAGACAGAGTTTTTAAGAGATTATAGTAGAATGGTGAGCTTTAAGGAGATAATTTCAGAGTTTATGCTGCCTAAAAGATGAAAGAATGGCTGTTAGTGGAGAAGTAAAGGAAATCAGCAATGCGCGAGACACCGAGATTGGAAGAATGCAGATTTCTGATAGGCCTAGAGGTGGTTACAGGTTAGGCCTGTGGAGGGATTTGAACACCATGAGAATTTCAAAATTTAGTCAGTGTTGGACCAAGAGTTCCTGTGGCTGAGGAAGACCGTGTGATGTTCGAGAGCAGCGGAACTGGAGCAGGGAGACAATGGGCTATTTTATGATGTAAAATTAGGTGGAAGGAATTAGTTATTGGTAAATCAGTTCAGAATATGCTGATTCTAAGATTCCTGTTATTCTGCTGCCAAAATTTGCTACATGCTCACCTTTAATCAACATTTCTCAGCTGTCAGTAAATGTGGAGCTGGAAAAGCGCAGCAGGTCAGACAGCATCCAAGGAGCAGGAAAGTCAACGTTTCAGGCTGAAATCCTTCATAAGGACTGGGGAGAGGGAGGGAAGCCCAGAAATAAATAACCGGGGGTTGGGGAGGGGGGCTTGGGTGAGGGTAGATGAGATGGAGATAGGTGGATGCAGGTCGGGGGTTATTGTGGTTGGTCATTGGGAAGGGTAGAACGGACAGGTGAGTAGGAAAATGGACAGGATGGGGGTGAAGAGATTTTGAAGCTGGTGATACAGGAGGTGTTACACCTGCCCCTGCACCTCCCCTCTCACCTCTGTCGGAGGCCCCAAGCAATCATTCCAAATCGAAATCCAGCACTTCATCTAACCTCCTCTACTGTATCCGTTGCTCCCGATGTGATCTCCTGCATATCGGGGAGACCAAACGCGGGCTTTGCGGATCATCTGTACTCTGCATGCACCAACCATGCTGCCACCACCCCCCAGCCATTTATTTCTGGGCTCCCCTTCCTGACAAAAGGTTTTGGACCAAAATGTTGACTTTCCTGCACCTTGGATGCCATCTGACCTGCTGTGCTTTTCCAGCTCCACATTTATTGACTCTAGCTTCCAGCATCTGTAGTCCTTACTGTCTCCAGGTTTCTCAGCTGGCACAGTGGTTCCCGACTGATAGTTTACATTGGCATATTCCTCATTTCTGATTTGTACATTGTTGATTTTGTTTAGGTGGTCAATTTTTTTTGAGCGGTTTCTAGCATTGTTGCTTTTGTTTCATTCAGTCAGATGTTGTCAATGTTGCTGGCTTAGAGTGTTGATCCACTGTAAGTTGGAAAATTAATTTAAGGTTTTATCAAGTATAGGACAAACAAGTGAAAGAATTTGCTTGCTCTTTCATGTCAGTGATTTCCAGTCAATTATATATTTTGAAGTATAGTCTTTGTTGGTTTGATAACCAGTTTGGGCACATTGTTCATAAACAGCATTGATGAATGACCAGGATTATTTTGTTTGTCGAAGGATAAATGTTGTTTGGAACATGGGTGACCTTTCTTGGTTCCTTTAGAAGAATGCCACAGGATCTTGTTAAACATGCAGCGTGCTTTACCATCTCATGTAAAATACAGCACTTCTGACAAGTAGTGCTGTACCAAAGCTATTGTGTTCAGTCTTTAACATGCAATTTTGCTCTACATGCAAATATTAACTGTTGTGGGCAAGGTTGACACTTCAAATAGATTGTAATCAATGCTTTTAAAATATTGACTTATTGTGAAATAGAAGTAAAATGGTCATAATTGTTTGGTCTGACACTGCCCTACAAATTGTCTACAGTTCTTCTTTACTCTGCTGACACTCCATCATTCTGATCGCAGTCCCATCTGCCTTCCTTCTGGAGGCCATCCTTTGCCTACTTAATGGAAAAGCAAAACTCTTTTTCCTATCAGTGTTGACACTAAAAGCTTATATACTGCTCAAATAATCTTTCATTTGGTAAAGTTTTCATGCTTCTCCTTAAAGGTCAAAGAGTTAAATTTCATAATTCAGCTCCTTTTAAATTATAGAATATAGAACTTAGAATAGTACAGGCCCTTCGGCCCAAGATGTTATGCCAACCTATTAAAGATTAAAACCTACTTTAAGATCAAAACTAACCTGCATACCCTTATTTTGCTACTAAGAGTGGAAATCTGTCTTTGGCAAGTGGTTTTGGCAAGAACAAAATACCACTTCCTTAGTCTTTAAGAGAAATCTTCATGGTATGTTTGTGGATATTTACAGATCTGATAAGTTTTCGGTTCTAATTCTCAGTTTAAACCAGTGTTCTCTCACCTTTATTGTATGAGGTGCTGGCGAGGCACTCATTTCAATTTCTCTCTCGCTCTAGTGGGCTGATGACCAAATTTCACAAAGAAATATTACCACAACAGTAGGCATGGATCTTAGGAAAAAAAGTTTAAAGCAATAATTTGATCATTTAATTGAGTAATAAAATAACTATTTGAAAGTATCATAGCGGGAGAGCTTTAAAAACTTTCTCTTTATCTTTTGTGGTCAATAAGTGGAGCTAGAGAGAGAAAAAGACTCTACCAAGTGCTGATTACAAGGGGAGGTGGTGAGAACTGGAGCTGTGATAAGAAGTTGTTTATCTAACCCCAAGCTTCGTTTATCTCCGGTTGGGAAACTCCAAGATGGCCTTGGCTGTATGCACAAGACCATGGCAAGCAGAAGCGAGTACCACTCAGCCCGAGCATTCATGCTATTGAGCTTGCATTTACGGATAGCTTTTCCAGAGCTGGGAGTTCAGGAAGAGAAGAATGAATGTGTGCTCTGGCCCAATCCATTTAATTATCTGCCCATGCTCCCAGTTAAATGCCCACCGACACAGCACCCAACCCCTCATGATGGCATGACCGACTTTCATTTGCCTCTGAGCCAAACCATTGTCTCCTTGAAAGCATCCCAAATGCCATGCTGCAGACACACCATACTGCCAGGTCAGGTCCTAGGCTAAGTTAAAT